TTTGATAAAAATCTATTACGACATTTATAAATTTCTCAGTAAAAGGCATCTTATTTGCAAGGTTAGAATGTTACGTTTAAGCAGTTTCAAAGGGGAAACTGGTTACGAACAAACTATACTGTGATTTGCTTAACACTGTTGCACATTAATAAACTGCCAATCAACTGTAGTTCCTGGCAAACAACACCAGGCAAAAGCAAGATGATACCAGGTCCCTAACTTTATGGCTTGCTGCACTTCTCAAACAAAAATAATTAAACCACAGAAGGCTCTAATGTCTAGAATGTTAGCAAAAAGTAGAGATAAATAATGATTTTGGACATAAAAATACAAAACCACAACCAGGGTAGGGTAATAAGGTTTACTCCAGGGTATTGCAATTTAATACCCACTACCCCTGAAGTTTTAGTGACTCCTAGATCCTCTACAAAGGTTCTCAGACTTTCCCAAATAAGACAGTAATTCTGCTTTATAAAGCTCTGAGTGCACTAGCACACAGGTAGGCAGAAAGCTAGAGTATAAGCAGAAGACTGAACAGAAAGTAGCAAGAGCCTATACTCACTCCTTCCCCATTAGAGACTCTGACTTCAGAAAGGAGATACAGGACCGATTTGCCTGTCCAAAGAAAATGTAGGCTTCCTATGTAATTAAGTTTTTTTCTGTAGCTATATTAAAGAAATATATGAAACTAATTTTAAGATATTTAATTCAACCCATCATATCCGAATAGTAGCAGTTCAACATATGATCAATATTAAAAATTTTAAGTGTCAGCTTTTAAAGTTCAATGAATTAAAATTGCAAATTCAGCTCAACTGCACTAGCCACATATGAAGCACTCTGAAGCCATGTGTGGCTACTGGCTACCGTACTGTATAGCTCAGCCATATTTTCCCCATGGAATTCCTCTAAAGAGGTAGGGGTACAGCAAAAATAATTACACATGAATAGCTGTGATTTAAGACACCAATCTCGGCTGGAGACTCTGCACAACAAAGTTTGAGAACAGCTGCTTTAGAAAACTGGTTAAAAATACAATTTCTAGGTCCCAACCCCAGAGACTATCAAAGCTGGCTAGTTCTGTTCTGAAAAAATGGATGGCCAATATTACATCTTTGGACAGGACTACTTGGTTCTTAAGGAAGCGCTAACTTTTATTTCCTCCTAAATTTTATCCTCCTTGGAAAGGATAATATATAAGGGAATGCCAAAAGGGATGTTCAAAGAAAGAAGGAAATGGAGGAGAGGGGAAAGAGTTGAGAATTGATTTTCTTCCCTTTTTTTCAAAATATCAATAATTAGATTTATATATAAACAGTCCATTTTCAGAGTTTTTGTTACTTGTAAATGAAGCAGCTCAGGATCTTGGGCTTCTGAAAGCTAAAGTGTCTTACAGATGAAAAACTTTTCACAAAGGACTATAAAACCACACACTATTTCAGTAATTATTTAGTAAATTGACTATAATGTCAAATGTCTGAAACAGTTCAGAAAAAGTAACCCAGGCAAATAGGCTAAAATTCTTTAAACTCTTAAAATTAAGCACCGTATTTTGAGCCCTATTAGGTAAGCACCGTGCTAAGAACCTTACATACTCTTTACACTCCAAACATCCCTATATATGTATAGTATTCGCCATTATTAACCATTTTAGAGATGAAAAAGACAAAGTTTAGTGGGGTTAAGTAATTTGCTTATGGTTACACAGCTATAAACCTAGTTTTTTTTTAAAAGATTTTATTTATTTATTTGACAGAGAGAGATCACAAGTAGACGGAGAGGCAGGCAGAGAGAGAGAGAGAGAGAGAGAGAGAAAGAGAGAGAAGCAGGCTCCTGCTGAGCAGAGAGCCCGATGAGGGACTCGATCCCAGGACCCTGAGATCATGACCTGAGCCGAAGGCAGCGGCTTAACCCACTGAGCCACCCAGGCGCCCCTAAACCTAGTTTTAATTCAGGCCTGACTGACCCTAAAACTTGAGCTTGCTCTTTATCCATAAGCTCTACTGATTGTCCCACAAAAAGCATACTTACCTACTTCTCAATACAAGGAAAACCTTCCACACACATATGCATTAAGAAATACATTACCATCTGTTTCAGGGAGCTCTCTGTACCCAACATCATTTTTATCTACTGGGACAACCAAGCCTGCACCATGAAAGGTCTTTGTCACGACCTAAATAAAAAACATAAAACCATTGGTAAACAGACAAAATAGACATAGTACATCGATATAAACAACGACAAACTCTCAATATGTCTGTCAAAATGTAACATTTAATGACATTCATTTTGGGAGTCCACCCCTGAAGTTTAGTATTCAAAATCAGCAAAAGTTAAGCACATGAAGAAATGACAGAAGAGTGAAACTGGGTTTTACTAATTGCACTCAGAAGTCTGCACCCTGATTTGGGAGGAAAGAATGCCAATGCATCCTATTATAAGAGGCAAGCCAGTATGTAAGTTTCCTGTTAGGTCACTGTATTTTCTAGGTAGGAAGCATAAGGAACTAAACCTAAAAGGTCAAGGAATAGTTTCTGTTAGCAGGAAAATGTAGTGGGACAGAATTCCTCTTGTGCATCTCGCCAACTTTAGGGCCCCCATTTTTACCTGAAAAATTCAGGCTTGTTTTTGCAAACTTCCCCAAAATAGAGCAGTTTTCAGTTTTGTGCTGCCCTTTACAGAAGCAAAATAACATAACCAGTGATCTTTTAGAAAGTGGTAATCTTCAAAGACAAGAACGGGCCCAACTACAACGACCACAATAACCCTTCCAGTCTACATTCTTTTCATGCACAACAGTGGTATTATTATTCGGTCCTTCCTTAACAAAACAACTACTTCGAATATTACACTTACTTGTGCCGCCACTGAAAACTGCCAAGACAGAAGGACACAAGCCCCAAATTAGCTCATTTTAAAGTCTTCTCACCTAAGTCTCTAGATCTTAAAATCTATTTCACTCAGATGCCCCAATCTCTTGCTTCTTTCATTCTTTCTTAAGTAAAAGAAGGGACAGATTATTCAAAATAAGTTCTCAGACAACAACTCACCATTTGCAAAAAAAAAAAAAAAAAAAAAAAGTCACTGTTGTATCTTACTCTTTATATCAAAATAATTTGCAGCTGGATGTCAGGATTAAATATAAAAATAAAACCAATGAAACTTCTAGAAGGCAAATACTTTTAATAATTTGAGTGGAGAAGGAAAAGACAGACTTGACTACATAAAATTAAAAAAATCAAAAATCAAGAGCAAAAGATACTGATAAAAATATCTGCAATATATACAATAATAAAAATAAGATTAATGTCTTTAAACTATAGAGGAGTCTTACAAGGAAAAAACATCCAACTTAAAACATAAGAAAGAAAAGGTGAATTCTAACCCTGACAGAAAAATGGCCAAACTTTAGGCAGTTCACCAAAAAAATACAAACGGCCAGTAGATAAGTGAAAAATATTTAATGTCCTTTATAATCAAAGAAATACTAAGTAAAACAATGACATATCATTTTATATCTATGCAAATGGAAAACACCAAAAGGGACTGCTAATACCTAGCAATGGCAAGGGTATGGGGAGAATAGGCACTGGTAAATTGCTTCTACACTGGGAACATAAACTAGCTTCACTCATACAGGGGAGTTCTGCAAACAAAGAAAATAAACTCCACAAAATGAAAAACCAGCAAAGAAAAAACTGTTGTTTTTCTTTAAATCTAAATCTCGAAATCACTCTGGACCTGGTAATACTACATCAGGTAATTTCTTCCAAGGAGATAATCAAGTAAGTGTGCAAAGAAAGGTATAGAAGGTTATACATGGCAGGATTTGTCTTTATTTGTGAAAAGTTTAAAGCAACCTAAGCTATGAACATCAGCACACTGCTCTGCAGCCATTCTGAAATTTATGAGGTGGGTCTTTAATTTAGCAATACAAAATGATAATCATAATCACAAGCATAAAAAAGCAGGTCATAAAACAGTATTGATAATGACAGAAAAAGCAAACATCCATATAGTTACTGGCCTATCCTCTCTTCCACTCAGGCTGACACACAACAAAACCATGGGAGGTATATATTTTCATATTTTTTACAGATGATTAACTGCACTAATTTTCCATAAAGAGGTAGCAATTATTAGCAAAGCACCAAAATCCTAATTTTCAGGAAATTCAGGAAAGCCCTGTGCAAGGGTGGGCGATATTCTGAGGCACCAGAATCAAAGGATGGAACGATGGAAGGATGTACCCTCATTTTATAGCAATATTAAACCAGTTTTTATTTTTAAAAATGAAATCTAGGTATAAAAAAAGGTAAAGTGGCTTTTGGCCAATCAGTAAGATGGAGTGGAAAAAAAGCTAAATATCAAAGATGTAAATTTAGGTGTCAGGTCACTTATGATTTTAAGCAAGGAACAAAGTCTCTGTAAACCTAGATTTACTGATTTATGACACAGGATAATTCCTCCTTTGTTTGCGGATTTGTTGTAGAGGTTGAATGAGGTAACTCGTAAGGGTTTGGCATTCCAAAGCACCACAAGGTATCGTCAGTATAAAAACAACTGTTTCTCATGTATTATATAGTGCACTATTATACTAGAATGGATATACAACTCTCCTACATAAGAACAAAGTCACTAATTCACATATATGAATGGAACTGAATTTTTCGGAAGTAGAAAAATATGAATTAAATGAATATCTGACAATAAAAGAACAAACTTTCTTTTTAATGGCAAAGGAAGAAAAAGCAAAATCAGCAACTGATTGTCTTTGGGAGGATAAGATCATGGTTGTCTTTTAAGTTCTTTTTTTCTCCCTTTATGTTCCTACCAGTTAATTTTGTGGACAGAAAAAATATATTCTAAACAAACAAACAAAAAAAACCTCATGGGGAAGGGAGCCAAGACAAATATACCTATGAAATTTAAACTCCAATGTCATCTTATAATTATGGGGAAGGATTAAGGAAATCTCATCTGAAATAAATTATAATTGATGGTAAAAAATAAGGTTCTGATAAAAGAATTTTCTATCAGCTATTTTGTCTACATAAGTACAGTTTTTAGTGAAGATAAGTTAGGAATACGTAAGTATAAGGCAAAAAATGCTCATTAGGTGGGATAGGCTCCCTATGGAAACTAGGAAGGTAAATGGCAACATAACATCTTTAAGTAATATAAAAATGTCCCATTGCAGTGGCTTTCATTCAAATGTGGTTTTAGAAATTATTTCTGGCCTCTAAGATTAAAGGAAGACTTGCCGAGACTGCAGTTTAGTGACTATGACTTATGTGAGTATCACGCCTGCTGCTGAAGTAGGATTTTCAATAACCAAATTCACTAAACTACTTAGTTACCAGTGTTAGTTTATCCAGGAATAACCAGTACTTAATTTGGCCTAGAACTTTCAGATGAACCTGTCACAGCAGATAATGGTGTGAAACTGGAGTGCCCTCATTCCACTGTGAGAAATCTCCTTCCTCACCAGAGGTTATAAGAACAAAATCCTATAGAATTCTCATTTACCCCTAAGCAGAATTCTTCTATGTTGTCTGTTAACTTCTTCTGAAAATTTTAAGTGAAAAACCGAAAGGATCCAAGACCCAGAAGTCTTTCCTGTTTACAAAACTCTCCACTCACAATGCAGGTGTTAGGAGAGATGCAAAAGGAAATGGTAATAGAATCAATATGGGAAAAGGAGACAGGACTGCTTAGACACACAGTTGCTGCAGAAAATGAGCAAATCTCAACACACATTGTCCTCAGAAAGGGAACTACCTTTGAAGCCCTTAACTAAACCACTCTAAGGCATACCTTCACAAAACTACTCTCCCAAAACACCTTGTGCGAAATCAACCATCCTTAGCTACTAAAGAAGAAATGTAGGTAAATACTATGCACAAAGCTGCTTTCACTCAGTTCTATGAGATGTGTAACTGGTAAAACAAGATGAAGAGAGTGGGAAGTCCTGGCATGAGCTAGCAACCAGAGCAGAACCATCTGCTCGTGCCTCAGTCTAACAACTGATGAGAGCCAGCCAAGCCGTGCCCCGGTGCCACCCTTCTAGCAATCCAGGGGATGGACAGCCCTGGAGCGAGCCCCCGAGGGGTGACATCTAGTTCTCCTCAGGATGGGGCAGAAGGAAGGATAAGGTGTAGGTGGGAAGGAATTGAGAGAAAAAAATCCTACTGAGTAGCAAAACTAACAGATTTAAACCGTACTTTCTTATCTCTCTGTTTCATCTTCATGGTTCTCTGTTCCAGTGAGTACCCAAGTTCTCTGGCTGCTTCTGTGAGTTTTTCATCTATGTTTTTCAAGAGACTAGTTTTCTTTTTATCTGTTACTTCCTTAAGCTTTTTCATCAGAAATAATCTGAAAAAGAAGTAAAAGCCCTCATTATTATGTAGGCCCCTGTACTAAGGACACAGACTTTGGGACATTAAGGGAGTATATTATAGACATCAAATTCCATGCAAGAGAAAGACTGCAGAATAATTACCAACAGTTGTCTCAGAACCCTTAACAGACTTCTTCCAATAAGAGAAAAGCAATTATCAATTAAAAAAAACCACCAGTCACAGAAACAGAAAACATGATTCAAGTTTGTATCTGCTCTGTAATGTCTACAATTAAGACATAAAAGGTATTGTAAAAGCTGAGATTCAAACCAATTTTAAATCATATCACTGGACATTAACATTGGCATACTGCTTTGGAGAAGTGTGGCATAACAGAGAAAAATAGTATGCAGATAACAAAAAGGAGTTTAAAAGAGTCAGAGGATACTTACAATACTTAAGATCAGCAGATTTTTTTCAAATGTTATCTACAAATTTGTGTTTAAGATAAATTTAGAAACTGTAAAGGGAAATCGAAGCTATTTTATAAGCTTATACAAAAGCACAATCCAAAATAATTTTTTTTTTTATTTTTTTAGACAGAGAGAGAGAGCAGGGGCAGAGGGAGAAAGAGAATCGTCAGCAGGCTCCATGCCCAATGCAGAGGTTGTCGTGGGGCTCATCTCATGACACTGAGATCATGACCCAAACCGTAATCAAGACTTGGATGCTTAACCAACTGAGGCACCCCTGAAATAATTTTCAAGTATGTGCATAGTAAAATACATTAATGCCAGTTACAGAAATAATTTCATGTTTTATTACAAGCAGGTTAATAAGACTTTTCCAGCAGAGCAGAAGGTCAAGTGTAAAATGGAGAGCTGGAAGCAGCACAGACACAGAACTAATCCCCTTCTTCTATACCCACTTCTATACTCCCAGGAGGAAACTTGCCTCTATTCGCTACTAGCATTTGATAGTTTGCTATAGGGTGGGCACTGTAATGAGATTAAACATTTAGAGTGGGTGCTACTCAAATCCTTGTTTTACAAATAAGGGAATTGAGGCACACAGGATAATCATCTTATGCAATTCATAGACTTAGTATGAGTAGATTAAAATGCACGGAAGCCAAGACCACCAAAATCATTGTCTTCATTACATAAATCATTACAAAATCATTGTCTACAGTACATATATTACACCTAACGTTACCTTCAATCTTGACCAGCTACATATCAAGAGAATGTATTTACATTAACCATAAAAAGCAAACTAATCATGTCAGGCCTAGGTGAATCAATCTTTATAGTCTTCCTCACCCTGTCTGGGTGCATCTAGGCAGACCTTCAAGTACTCTGTGCCACTTGTTTTCATATTTCCATGCACATACTATTCCCTTGCCTAGAACACCCTTCTTCCCATTCTTTGTAGTAAGTTCTTATATATTTGTCAAGGTAAAATATTCTCTCTATGAAGACTTCCCACTATTTAAAGCACTTAGTGGCTGTCTTCCCATAATTATCGCATTATTATGACTATTTCTGTATCAGTTTATTAAGCTTTGCTCTCTTGGCTTCAAGCCTAATCTCCAATACTCCTCCGCTTTGTGATGCTTAAAGTTGAAATATGTAAGCTGAAACAACCACCATGCACATTTTATACTCTGTTACATTAAATCTGCTGGGATATACGTTGAAACTTGAATGAATCCTTCAGTGGTCATTTGGAAATTATTGGCTCAGTAAGTTATGCAGGTCTTACAAATATTGAAATTTTTCATTTTATCAAAAATTTTCCACAGAAATTGAAGATGATGCAAACAAATGAAAAGACATCCCATGCTCATGGATTGAAAGAATATTGTTAAAATGTCCATACTACCCAAAGCAATCTACAGATTTAATGCAATCCCTATCTAAATACCAAGAGCATTTTTCACAGAACTAGAACAAACAATCCTAAAATACAGAATCACAAATGACCACAGGTAGCCAAAGGAGTCTTGAAAAAGAAAAAGAAAGCTGGAGGTTATGACAATTCCAGATTTTAAGTTACACTAAACTAGACACAGATCAGTGGAACAGAATAGAAAGCCCAGAAATAGACCCAAAAATGTATGGTCAATTAATCTTCAACAAAGAAGGCAAGAATATGCAGTGGGAAAAAGACAGTCCTTCAACAAATGGTGCTGGGAAAACTGAACAGCTATATGCAAAGAATGAAGCTAACTGGACCACTTTCTTATATCAAACACAAAAATAAACTCCAAATGGCTTATGGACCTAAATGTGAGACCTCAAACCATAAAATTCCTAGAAAAGAGCACAGGTAATAACTTTCTTGACATCAGCTATAAGAAGAGCTTTCCAGAAAGGGCTCCTGAGGCAAAGGGGAGAAAAGCAAAAATGAACTACTGGGACTACATCAAAATGAAAAGCTTCAGCAAAGGAAACAACCAACAAAACTAAAAAACAACTTATTGAATGAGAAAAGATATTTGCAAATGATCTATCAGATAAAGGGTTGGTACCTAAAATAGAAAGAACTTCTACAACTCTACACCCAAATCACAAATAACCCAATTAAAAATTAAGCAGAAGACATGAACAGACCTTTCTCAAAAGAAGACACACAGATGGTCAACAGACAAATGAAGATGCTCAGCATCATTTATCAAGGAAAAGCAAATCAAAAACTTCAACGAGGGGTACCTGCCTGGTTCAGTCAGAAGGGCATGTGACTCTTGATCTGGAGTTGTGAGTTTGAGCCCCATCCTGGGTAGAGAGATTACATACATACATACATACATACCTACAATGAGATACCACCTCATACCAATCAGAATGGCTAAAATCAACAACACAAGAAACAAAAAGTGTTGGTGGGGATGTGGATCAACAGGAACCCTCATGCACTATTTGGGAGAATGCACACTGGTGCAGCCACTGTGGAAAGCAGCATGGAGCGTCCTCAAAAAACTAAAAATAGAATTACCGGGACGCCTGGGTGGCTCAGTTGGTTAAGCAGCTGCCTTCGGCTCAGGTCATGATCCCAGCATCCTGGGATCAAGTCCCACATCGGGCTCCTTGCTCATTAGGAAGCCTGCTTCTCCCTCTGCCTCTGCCTGCCATTCTGTCTGCCTGTGCTTGCTCTCTCTCCCTCTCTCTCTCTGACAAATAAATAAATAAATAAAATCTTTAAAAAAAAAAAATAGAATTACCAAATGATCTAGTAATCACACTACTGGGTATTTACCCAAAGAACACTAGTTTGAAGGGATATATGCACCCCTATGTTTATGGCAGTATTATTTACAATAGCCAAATTATGGAAGCAGTCGAAGCGTCGGTCAAAGTGTCTATCTAACAATAGAAGAATGGATTCTTTTATCTAAAGAAGATGTGGTACATATATACCATGGAATATTATTCAGCCCCTCAAAAAAGAATGAAATCCTTGCCAACAACATGGATGGATCTAGAGAGTATAATGCTAAGTGAAATAAGCCAGTCAGAGAAAGACAAATACCCTGTGATTTCACTCATATATGGAATTTAAGAAACAAAAATGAACAAAGGGGTAAAAAAAAAAAAAGAAACCGCAAAAACCCAGATCCTTAACTATAGAGAACAAGTGAATGGTCACTAGCAAAAGAAGCAGTCAACAAAACCAAAAGACAATGGACAAAATGGGAGAAGATATTTGCAAATGACACATCAGATAAAGGGCTAGTATCCAAAACCTATAAAGAACTTATCAAACTCAACACCCAAAGAACAAATCCAATTAAGAAATAGGCAGAAGACATGAACAGACATTTCTCCAAAGAAGACATAAAAATGACCCACAGTAGGGTACCTGGGTGTCTCAGTGGGTTAAGCCTCTGCCTTTGGCTCAGGTTATGATCTCAGGGTCCTGGGATCGGGCCCCGCATCCGGCTCTCTGCTCAGCAGGGAGCCTGTGTCCCCACCACCCTCTGCCTGCCTCTCTGCCTACTTGTGACCGGTCTGTCAAATAAATAAATAAAATCTTTTTAAAAAATGACCAATAGACACATGAAAATATGCTCCATATCACTCAGCATCAGGGCAATACAAATCAAAACCACAATGAGATACCATCTCACAGCAGTCAGAATGGTTAAAATTAACAAGTCAGGAAACGATGAGAATGAGGGGAGAAAAGGAACCCTCCTACACTGCTGGTGGGAATGCAAGCTGGTGCAGCCACTCTGGACAACAGTATGGAGGTTCCTCAAAAAGTTGAAAACAGAACTAACCTATGACCCAGCAATTGCACTACTGGGTATTTACCTCAAAGATGCAAATGTAGTGAAAACAAAGGGGCACCTGCACCCCAATGTTTATAGCAGCAATGTCCGCAATAGCCAAACTACGGAAAGAACCCAGTTGTCCATCGACAGATGAATGGATAAAGAAGATGTGGTATACATACATACACACACACACACACACACACACACACACACACACAGTGGAATATTATGTGGCCATCAAAAAATGAAATCTTGCCATTTCCAATGAGATGGATGGAACTAGAGGCTTCAAAAAAAAAAGATTTTATTTATTTATTTGAGAGGGAGAAAGAGACAGTGAGAGAGAGGGGGGAGAGAAAGCGCACACAAGCAGGGGGAGGGAGAAGCAGACTCCCTAGTGAGCAGGGAGCCCAACATGGGGCTTGATCCCAGGACTCTGGGATCATGACCTAAGCCAAAGGCAGACACTTAACTGACTGGGCCACCCAGGTGCCCCTGGAACCAGAGGGTATTATGCTAAGAAAATAAGTCAATCAGAGAAAGACAATTATCACATAATCTCACTAATGTGTAATTTAAGAAACAAAAGAGAGGATCAAAGGGAAAGAGAGGAAAAAATGAAATAAGATGAAACCAGAGTGGGAGATGAACCATAAGAGACTCTTAATCATGGCAAACAAACTGAGGGCTGCTGGGGGGGGGGGGGGGAGGGGGGAAGGGGGGAAAGGGGGGGGGGGGGGGGGGGGGGGGGGGGGGGAACGGAGGAATGGGGTAACTGGGTGATGGACATTAAGGAGGGCATGTGATGTAATGAGCACCGGATGTTATGTAAGACTGATGAATCACTGACCTCTACCTCTGAAACCAATAATACATTATATGTTAATTAAAAAAATTATGAGTGCATATTATTAATAACTTTATTATAATCAATGGAATTTTGTAAAACAAAAATAATCAAGAAAATGAAGTTCTAAAAAAAGTATTCAGGGGCACCTGGGTTGCTCAGTGGGTTAAGCCTCTGCCTTTGGCTCCGGTCACGATCCCGGGGTCCTGGGATCAAGCCCCACATCAGGCTCTCTGCTCAGCAGGAAGCCTGCTCCCTGCACCCTACTTGTGATTTCTCTGTCAAATAAATAAATAAAATCTTTTAAAAAAAAGTACTCAGAACTTATGTTTGAAAAATCATTGCCTACAGTAATAAATTCATATTACCCAGGACAGCAAGGTAGGGTAGCAGAAAATGTGGGGGCAGTAGGCGAAAGGAAAAAAGATTATTTAACAAGTTGACCCATGTACTGGCCACATTTATTCTTTTACTATGTACCAAATGTTTTACATTGTATTTGGGTTTGCACACGGTAAGCATTCACTAAATGAATGTTTACTCATTTCAAATGTTCACTTAAACTTAATTAAAATTATAGAAGTATAATTTTGGGCTACATTTATTATTTATTTTTTAAGATTTTATTTAGTTATTTGACAGAGATCACAAGTAGGCAGAGAGGCAGGCATAGAGAGAGGAAGGGAAGCAGGCTCCCTGCCGAGCAGAGAGCCTGACTTGGGGCTCGATCCCAGGACCCTGGGATCATGACCTGAGCTGAAGGCAGAGGCTCAACCCACCGAGCCACCCAGGCGCCCTGGGCTGCATTTAGATATAGTCATAACATGTATTTTAAAAAGATATTCCTGAGTCCTACTCTAGATGTACTGAAGCGGCATCTCTAGAAGTAAGACCTGCAGAGCTCAAGGTAAAGTACTTTTAACCAGTAACTCATCAAGTTCTGATATATAGGTCTGAAACCATTAACTAAATAGCAGTTATCAAAGAATGGTCTGGGGACCCTGAAACCTTGCAGGAGATCTGTGAGGTCAAAACTATTGCTACAATTATTTTAGAGGGAAAAAAATGTGAAGAGAAAAAAATTATTCTTAATTTTGTGATCCAAAGATAAGTATTTTATAGATCGTATGAAAATGGAATCATCCCATGTTACCGTTTTTTGACCTCTTCACATAATGTATTAAAGATCTTTCCAAATCAACAAATCAATAACCTGGTATTATAGTGTACTGATATTCCATATTTATTTACCTAATTTTCCCTACTGCTGGATAGAGATGTTTTCTCCAGTTTTTTGTTTTTATATACATATATAATACATACACATATCTGTATACTTGTCCAAAATTTTTTACATAAATAGCTAGGGGCGCCTGGGTGGCTCAGTTGATTAAGCCACTAACTCTTGATTTTGGCTCAGGTCATGATCTCAGGGTTGTGGGATCAGGCCCCGAATCAGGCTCTGTGCTTAGCATGGAGTCTGCTTGTCCTCTCCCTCTGCTCCTCCCTGACTTGTGCACATGCTCTCTCTCCCTCTCTCTCTCAAATAAGTAAACAAACAAAATCTTAAAAAAGAAAGAGAAACAGCTAGCTAGAAATGGAATTGCTAACTTAAGGGTATAAATGTTTACTGAGCTCAGTACCTGGCAATGTTAATTATTTGTCAAAAAAAAATTTTTTTTTTTTTTAAAGATTTTGTTTATTTATTTGACACAGAGAGAGCACAAGCATGGGGAGTAGCAGGCAGAGGGAGAAGTAGGCTCACCATGGAGCAGGGAGCCTGACTCGGGGCTCTATCCCAGGACCCTGAGATCATGACCTGAGCCTAAGGCAGATGGTTAACTGACTGAGTCCAGGCACTCCTTTCTTTGACCATTATTAAATTTTGCACAAAGGGAACTAGTTTCTCTGGGCATAAAAATAAATTGTTTATTACAAGTGGTTTTCCTTAAAAAGACAAATGGTCTTCCTTACAAAGGGTCCTTCCTTAAAAAGATCTTCCTTACTCAGGTTGATAACAGAAATAAGCTAAGCGCTCTGATTAGTTCACTTAAGTAAAGAAGGAAATAACATTAGGTACTCAAATACTTCCTGGTCTTCACCTAAATTATAAGTTATTCACCAATTTTTTTTTCTTTCTGCTAAAAAAGTGAAACAAAACAGAACAAAAACCCAGAACAGTCTTAGATTATGTTAGACAACCACTGTATCTTTCTTTTTTAAAAAGATTTTTAGTAAGACTAACAGACTAATGAAAAATTAGGCATTTTTCCATATCTAAGTATTTGTAGAGTGAATGAATTATTTATGGAGCATCTATGAAAGGGCAGGTGCATGGGGAAAAGTCTCTCTGCCCTCACAGAACTTGTATGTTAATGCAACAGACAGACAGAAAATATGCAAGTCAACAACTACAGTTTCTAATAAAGAGACCACCAATTTAAACTGAATATATCTAAATAGCCTAAAAGAATATATAAATAAGAAGAAACATTTTATAAAAACACAACTCCTCTTTTAGATACATCAGTAGGTATGTAGCAGTCTAGACGGAGCACTGGCTGATTTAGTTTAAGTTCTATTCACTGCAAATTTGCACTTTTAAGTCAAAGAGAATACAAGACTTTTTAAAATAGGGTATTAGGGGTGCCTGGGTCTGCCTTCAGCTCAGGTCACGATCCCAGAGTCCTGGGATCAAGCCCCGCGCCAGGCTGCCTGCTCCATGGGAAGCCTGCTTCTCCCTCTCCCACTTCCCCCTACTTGTGTTCCCTCTCTCACTGTGTCTCTGTCAAATAAATAAATAAAAATCTTTAAAATAAATAAATAGGGCATTAAAAGAGGTCACAGAAAACATGATCTACTAATGTTTACGTTGACAAAGATGGCTTTCTTCATCTTATTACAATGTGAATTGCCCAGCTGCGGGGAGATCGCTTCAAATCACGTCTGTGGCTAGTAGAGTGTGAACCGGCTCACGAGGCTCCATTCTGAATCCCTTTCACATTAGAGCTGCTCCATTTCCCAGACTACTCTTCAGCTCAAGCTCCACGTGGGGCTTAGCTTCTCTCAAACAGAAACAACTCCCTAGAAACTGAAAGGCAGAAAGAGGTACTAGGTGGCGAGGGTCTGTTTCTACCATTAAGTCCAGTTAGAGGCCTCTGATGCTCTATTTTAACAGGTGCAGCTGCGATGTCAGTGCCTGCTCCTTAGCTTCCATCATGGCTGAAACACAGAGGCAGGGCATCCCTTTTACTACCACAGGTTAAGTCAAAGATGATGTGGTCCTAGGGCCACTCATGGCAGCGGATCCTGACTGCCCCAGCTTCTTGATGGTGGCAGAGTGAGCCAGTGCTGCCACACAAATGGTGCTCCCTGAGACTCATCTCCACTGGCCCTTCCAAGAATTTCATGAGCACCTTTTTTTTTTTTTTTAATTCTCAGATGGTCAACATATAGTGTTATGTTAGTTTCAGGTGCACAATATATTGAGTGATTCAACAATTTATAAGCACCTGCTTTCGCCGTATTAAATCTTTGTAGAACTATACACAATGGGTTCTTATAATAGACTCTTAATGATGGTATTTAAAATGTCTAAAAAATCTTTTGGTTTTGCTATGGGACTAATGAAGTCAAGATTAAGTAATATTTTCCCTAAATAATTAGTTATAAAAGAGGGTTTTTTTTTTTTTTTTGTGAAAAGTAGCAGACGTGTGGGTTAAGAATACTGCAAGTCATGGAAATGATCTTTAGAAATGTAAAATTTTAGAGTTACCTCAATGTCCCTCAGTGGTGGACTGGTATAGTAGTACAAAAACTGCAAACAAATATTATAAATAGGAGGGAGATTGAAATATTTTCTTACTTGACTGCGGCAAACACATTATCTCCATTTGGAACAATTGTGCAGTTTTTCTTTGCTTCATTTGTACCAACATATACAGGAAGTTCATCAGGAGAATCCCTGTTTAAGCAAAAGAGATTAAAAATTTAGCTGCCCATGATTTATCAGGCAAGTAGAATTTCAGGCCTATAGACAACAATTTATGTATGCAGGTTTTTAAGAAACTGGAAGAAATTTGCCAGGTTCCTAGGAGACTTAGAGTTTAAGTTTCTTAGGAATATCTACAACAAATCTTACTTATAGAAGAGATCCTAAAATTAAAATTCTTAGTCCTAGTTACCTATATACCTAAATACAAAGAAAGGGGGAATAAGGCCTGTCAAAAGGAGGGAAAATTATATGCAATCCTCTCTAACCGTTTTATAGTCTATGAAAAAAAAAGGTGGGAAAAACAAAAAGAAACAGGATTGTAAAATGTGAGAGGTGAAAGGATAAAATTTACACACACACACACACACACACACACACACACACACACACACACACACGACACCAAATCCTTTTATTTTACAATCAAGGAAACACTGGAGAGACAAAACGACTCAGCCAAGGTCCTAGTAAGTTAATGGCAAAGCAAAAAGCAGAATTCATATAACTCAATCCTCAGCCTTGTGTGCATTCTGTAGTACCACAATCCTTTTCTTTTTTTTAAAAAAATTTTATTTATTTGAGAGAGGGAGAGAGCGTGAGAGGGGAGAAGGTCAGAGAGAGTAGTAGACTCCTGACTGAGCAGGGAGCCCAAGGTGGGGCTTGATTTCGGGACTCTGGAATCATTACTTGAGCCAAAGACAGTTGCTTAACCAACTGAGTCACCCAGGCACCCCACAATCCTTTTCAATAGGCATGTTTCTTCTACTTCATCTATTATCCTACAGTTAATCTTTAAATAACAGCATCTCTACTGGTATAAGTGGACAAGGTATTTTATCTCTCAAGCTACTTCTTAACATTCCAAGCACTTGCATGTATATCCATTAAATCCTTTTTTTTTTTTCCCCCTTTTTGGTGAGAGAGAGCGCAAGCAGAAGCAAGGGGAGCAGCAGGCAGAGGGAGAGGGAGAAGCAGATTCTCTGCTGAGCAGGGAGTCCGATGCGGGACTTGATCCATCCTGGAATCATGATCTGACCCGAAGGCTGATGTTTAACCAACTGAGCCACGCAGACAACCCCCATTTAATCTTACTATTCCTACTAGGTAGATACAATTATTATCCTCATTTTTACAAGAGGAAACTGAGTCACAGAAAGTCACAATGACTAAAGGTGACTGGCACATAGTCTGTCAGATAATAGAACCAGTCTGACTCCAAAGCACATTCTTAATTCTTACGGCCCCTGGAAGCACATGGCTAATTTAAGTCATGGCAATTCTCTAAATTATCTTCCTTGGGCTAAAAGAGTGCTCCTAGACCCAAAAAGTAAAGAAAATTTATAACCACAAAGGAAACACCAGTGAGGTTAAACCTAAAGAGTTCACTCATCCTAGGGTAAGTTAGAATGGCAGTATCAAGAACATCAGATGCCTATGTATCCACCAATCAGAGGGAAATATGTTCTCCATCTTGGGTGAGTCCAGCGAATGCCTATTTATACTCATTAGAAGGCCCAGTAGCTGCATTTTAGAGAAGAAAAGATTCTTTACCTGAAATACCCCATGTGGAATTGAGTTTTATTATCTCCAGTAACAATGGTCTGGAACTCAGGAGGATCATAGTAAAATCTCCAGTGAAGGTTAAAATTCAGGCCTGATGATTTTTTCTTCATTTTATGTTTTCCGGCAAGGATATCATAAGGACCCACTAATCGAAGTCCAAGGCTTGTGGAAAGTGAATCTATAAATTAAGTAAGTTTATGTAGACAATAACTTTCTGAAGGCAGATAGGAAATAATGTCTTTTATTTGTAAATTACTTCTAAGCAATTTTCTTAAAAACAAAAAACACAAAACTTCCAAAGTGAAAGAGCTTCGGTTACATTTGAAGACATTAGTTATAAATACTCAATGAAAAATCAGAGCAATGAAAATGTGGCACTTACACTTAAGATTTTCTCTTAAATTTACCACTGATTACATTTCAAACATACTGCTGTTTCTTATTGTGGCCAAAGCAAAACGGTTTTGTATTCTCATGGGCATTTTAGAGCTTAGAACACTTACCTTATCTCATTACTATGTTGTTGTTAGCCTCAAATATTTGTAGCACACCCATATTAAGGGAGAGACAAGACAGACAGTAAGTGAATGTGCACTAAGGAGAGTAAACAGTTTAATAAAAAATGTATTTAATGAAAACATTTCCTTTCCCTTCCCTCTACCTCAGCTAACTATCACTCTCAATTCCTTTGTCTCTGGCCAACCCTAACCCTAGATGATTCCATCTTCTTTCTCCCTCCACATATCACAAAGGGAGACTGCTAAATAAAACTAGAATTATGGAATGTAAACTTCAAACATATGTGTTCAAAATATGCTTTTAAGCATCAGGTGGGTCCTTGTTGCTTCTTTAGGAGAGAATAAGCACTCCAGGCAGGTCCTGGATATCTAAGAAGATGGGGATGGAGAGAGGAAGAAAATTCTGACAAGGCAACATGAATAAAAGCCTAGAAACAGTTTATTTAGAAGGGGGAAAAATAGTTCAGCTTAACTGGAGCTTAAGATAGCATACACTAATTTTCAAAGCAACAAAAACACTAAAATCACCCATCTCATTAGCCTATAGAGATAATGAGGTTGTTAGTCTGGTATACAATAACAATGTTTTCCTGCCTGTATGACTATATATAGAGTTATTTTAAAGGAAATCATGCTGTTTTGTGGTGTTTTTATTGTTTTCCATTCTTTCTTCACTCAAATTTTCTGATTATTTTTCCATGCGATTAAATATTTCTTCATAATTTTTAATAGCTGCACGATAGTCCACTGACAGACATTTACTGCTTATTTTTTTACTCTTCTAAACAGTGCTTCAGTGAATATCTTTACTAATATATGACTTTTTGGTTTGTTTTTAAGTAGGCTCCACACCCAGTGTGGGGCCAACAGGGGGCCTGGGAACTGATGACCCTGAGACCAAGACCTGAGCCAAAATCAAAAGTTGGATGCTTAACCAACGGAGCCACCCCGGCACCCCTTTGCTAATACATGTTTGTGCAGTCATGAATATTTTTAGACAAGTTGCTGCACCGTTTAAGTGTTCTGCTATACTGCAAAATTCACTGTTATCTACTAATCCATATTTCCATCAGTAGCATATGGGAGTACTTCTCTCCCATCTGTGAAAACATGTGAAAAGTAACTTTGTCACAACCATTATCAATTCTTTGTGCATCCTTTCAGAGACAGCATAAGGACACATAAGGTACATAAGAATATGTGTGTCCTTGACTTTAAAAAAAAAAAATACAAATGGTAGCACTCTATACACATTTTCTTTCTCACTTGAAATATTTCAGGCACAATACTTTATCATTACCTAAAATCCACCTTGTTCTTTTAAAACTACGAATGTGTTAATGATGGGCTTTAGGCCATTTCCCATTTTTGTTTCAATAAATATCACTAAACATGATTTTTAGTTCACCTAATCCTGAAGTTCCTAGAACTAGAACTGCTAAGTCATACTAAAATTCCTGCAACGTATCAAAGTACTTGTTTTCTTTCAGACCCTCATCAAAGTGCACTGTGAAATTATTTACCTTTGCCAGTGTAACAGGAGATAGTCACATATTATCACAGCATTATTTTATATCTCTCTTAGAAACATGTTTGAAAAAGTTCCTTTTCTGTGAACTTAGATCCTTGGTGCAGTTTCCTACTGTCTTTTTCCACTGGTAGAAGCAGGAGAATGATTCTGGAGCAACTCACCAGCTGGGTTTTCAGGATCAAGTTCTTCACAAAACTTCCAAAAGTGATAGAAGTCTTCAGGCAGAGAAAGCTTATAATGATTTTCTACTTCTTTTCGAAGGTCACTGGAGACATCAGCTTCACAGGATTTACTTTTCTTCACATCAACTGTCTTTTCACACTGAAAATCAGCATACAAAACTTTGTTTCTCCAAAAGTAACAATATTGCTCATTTTTGTTCACCCAACTCTGAGAAGCATGTTTTCCTTACAACTCTACAAATGGTATTTCTGAACAAAATCTAGGGATTCTTTTGGGCAAAGGAAAACAGTATAATATATAGCGATCAAGAAGGATGCACACAGCAAGTCTTTAAATATATTTCTCTAAGATAATGGAAATAGAAAAGAAAAAATATAAAAGAAAAAGTAAAGGGCATGAAGAATAAGAAATAGGAAGGTTTTGCCTTCTTTGGGTAAATAGGTCATTATGCTTTTTGTTTAAATAGATTCAGTGATCACACCAGAAGCCAACTGTCAGAAATAACTGGATAATAGTGGATTTACCAGCTAAAACTATTATTTCAGAAAAAGCCCTTTAATGTCAGAACTATGTTATAAAACTCAATCTCTAATATCTCTGCAATATGTTCACTGCGTAAGTACACTAGGTTTTATAGTGCCTATTTGATAAATGTAAGATAAAATGCTGATGGGCGTGTGGGTGGCTCAGTTGGTTAAACATCTGCCTTTGGCTTGGGTCATGATCCCATCCTAGGATGGAGTCCTGAGTGGGGCTCCCTGCTCAGCAGGGGGGGTCTTCTTCTTCCTTTCCCTCTGCTCCTTCTCGCTATCCCTCTTGCTCTAAAATAAATAAATAAAACCTTTAAAAAAAAAAGGATAAAATTCTGAGTTAGAGGTTACGTATCTTTAGTTTTGTAAGTAGCAAAGTTCTTCTTTCTAGGAACCTAGATCCTTTCTTTTTGGACTAAATTCTTTTGGACTAAATTCCTTTCTTTTTATTCTTCCTTTCCACCTCTATTAGTGCTTCTCAACAGGAGTGATTTTGCCTCCCAGGGGCACATGTGTAATGTCAGAACTTTTTAGTTCTCACAAATTTAGTAGGAGAGGGAGCTGACATTTAGTAGAGGCTAAGGGGACGCTGCGAAGCATTCTGCAATGCACAGGGTTAGCTCCCTGAACAAACACTTAAACGGGCTCAAAATGTCCAGTGTGAGGCTGAAAATTTTTTAGATATTTCCCATTCATATTTATATTCTTCCATTCTCCCAGTAAGCTCAAGTTTACTGATGTTACTTTATGTATCAAAGTCTACACAATATATTTATGATTTAGATTATCTACAAGAATGTTCTTGATAGCACTGTTTCTTTTTTTTTTTTTTAATATTTTATTTATTTATTTGACAGATATCACAAGTAGGCAGAGAGGCAGGCAGAGAGAGAGGAGGAAACAGGCTCCCCGCGGAGCAGAGAGCCCGATGTGGGGCTCGATCCCAGAACCCTGGGATCATGACCCGAGCCGAAGGCAGAGGCTTTAACCCACTGAGCCACCCAGGTGCCCCGATAGCACTGTTTCTAAGAGCAGAAAAGAGAACAAATGAAAATGCCTATTGACAAGAGGATAAAAAGTTACAGGATTTCAAACAATGGGATATTCCGCTTAGTGAAAAGGAAAACAGCCACACACAACAATATAGATCAGTCTTAATAATATAATGTTGAATGAAGGAAAAAAGGCCTTGAAGTTTATATGCAGCACAACAGCCTTCTTAAATTCAAAAACAAAAAATAAATACTGTTTGTGATAAGGCTATAAAAAGAAGTCAAGGGAAAACATGAGGATGGTAGCTACATAAATGGAGGTGACAGGAAGTTAGGCAGAAAAGATAGTGAGAAACATTTGTAGAGCTAGTGTCAGGGTTTCAGTTCTGGGGTAGGGCAATGGGTTCACAGGTGTTTTTTATATTATTAAATAAGGTAAAAGAGGACCATGCATTGACAAATAAAAGTTTATTGTGCCAAGGATTTTAATGTGTCTGAGGTCATAAAAAAATTAAACAAAAAGGCTGTTGAAATATGGATCCAAAAAAGCATGCTGATAAGTAACAGTGAAAATGGTAAGTAATAAATAATACTAAATAATACTTATTAGCACTTACCATGTGGCAGGTCACTGTTCTAAGCACTTTCTGTGAATTAACTCATAACCCTCTTAAGAGTTAGATACTATTATCCACATTTTACGATGAGAAAACTTAAGTAACTTTCCTAAGTCCCTAACCCATAAGTGGAGCAGTTAAACCCAGGTGGGCTGGCTCTAAAGCACAGATTTATCCACTTTATGCTGCTTCTCCAGTTACATACAGAACAGCAGGAACGTATCAAATGCTAAACTATTCTCCTTTTTTTTTTTTTTTAAAGATTTTATTTATTTGACAGAGAGAGAGAAATCACAAGTAGGGAGAGAGGCAGGCAGAGAGAGAGGGGGAGGAAGCAGGCTCCCTGCGGGGCAGAGAGCCCGACATGGGGCTCGATCCCAGGACCCTGGGATCATGACCTGAGACAAAGGCAGAGGCTTTAACCCACTGAGCCACCCAGGCGCCCCTTCTCCTTTGTTTTTACAGCAGTCTTTGTTTAGGCTTTCAAAGACTTGTTCAAACTTAAGATGTTAGAAAGAAAAGCCATATACTACCTTGCTGAAAGGCAGTTTTTCCTAATGGTTAGGCTGCCTGGGTTGACTCTTGACCTTCCTGCTTTCCAGCTGTCACCTTAGGGAAGTTACTTCCCTGTGCCTTATTTTCTCATCTACAAAAAGGGCATGTAGTACCTATATCACAGGGTTGTTAGGAGGAATAAGTAGTTTGTAAAAATATGCAGAATAGTCGTAGCACATAATATTTAAGTGCTAGCTATTACTGTTAGCTATGGTCTCTATAGACTCATTTTCATCTCTGATATTTTATTTCTAATACTATCACTCAGTCAAAGCAGTTTATAGCACCTTCAAAGGGAAATAAAGATTTTTTTCAGCTTTGTCTTAACTCACATGATTTCAGCATCCTCAAATCCCCAATAACTAGAATTTAGGGCAGCTGTCTCCTTCACAGCCTACACTCATCCTTCACTCTTTATCTAGAAAGCAGGACCCAATATAAGCAATGCCCAGAACTAAGGTCCTCTAGTAGATAATTAAGCTAACACTGTCCTGCTCTACCAGTTTATAATACAGACAGAGTAATTCTGAAAGCTGTCCGTATCACAAGGACACTTTTCTCCTGCCTGCCTCTCCTAAGAGTACAGCAGTATTTGCAGAACTTCTGAAATCGTATAAAAGTAAGAGAATGTGCAAATACTGTATGCCCCCCCCCCCACCATTAGTGAGTGCCTTTAGGATCAGATCCCTCTTTCCCATCTCCGATGCAGCCAGGCCCAACTCCGCTGTACCCAAACATCCTCTACATTTATTTCTATTTCTTATCCCTTATTTCTCTTTTCTTCCTTCAAGGGTCACGTGCAACTTGAATTGCCCTTAAAAGATTTCCTTAGCAACCCCCTGGGACTTAGATCCTACTTCAGTGTTTCCAGAGCACTTTTGCAACCACAGCGTTACAATGCCAAACAAAACACTCGCAGTAAAATATATATTTACTGTGCCCAGCTTCCGCAGGCTGGGGGCTGTACATGGGGCAGTGGCGGCACCAAGCATCTAGAAACCGCGGCGCCCGGCACAGTGCCTGGCGTATAATCGGTTTCTAATCAATTTGTTGCTGGTTGAACCAATGAACCATTGGTTGTCTTAATCGGCTTCCCCAGGAACCGCACCGGAAGGAGAGCAGAAAATGAAAATTTCAAAGTTCTTTGCTCCAAACCCTAGCATAGCAGGAAACAGCGGCCCTGCGCAGACCGCCGTTCCTGCACGCACAGCAGCGACTCAGTGATTACTGGATAAGTGCAACGTGCTGTCCCTTGCTGCCTTATCACCCAAACGGCCTTGAGGATCCCACACATCCTCTGTAGCGGTACCTGCTGCCCCTCCCCGCCGGGCCTGCGTTTCCCGCCACCGCCGGCCATTCTGTAGCTGCAGCGACAGCAGAATCCCGCGTCCCGCCGTTGCTTCCGATAGCCGCCGACTGCTTCCGGTTCAAGAGACTCCCGTCTTGAATCCTGCGCAGCGGCGGCGGTGCAAGTAGAACGGAAAGGCTCCGCCTGAGCCCTGCCCCCCAGGATCTGAGGAGGGGCTGGCCGAAGCTCCGCCCACTCGCGCGCGGGACGCGAGGGCGCTGCTGCAGGCGTGCATCCTGGCTGTTCCCAGGCGCAGGCTACGGTCTCGCCGGCTAACGCCAGGGGTGCTCCTGAGACCCCAGAGTCCCGAATTTGGATCCGTTAAGATGGTCCGGCCTTCCTTCTCAGGTGTTTAATAGTGGCAAGGCTGGACGTCTGGTAGTGCCCTCACCCAAAACTGTCGTTTTCCCTTATTTGTATATATTTAAAAGATTAATCGTTGTGTTCCTCTTTTCCATCTCTCTCTCCCTCCTCCACTATATTGTTAATAACGGACACTAATTCATCCTTAATTATCTCTCAGAAGGAAATCAGTTTCTTTCATTGTTTTTTGGTGAATCATGCTACAGTTTGGACGACGTTTTCCACACCAGAACCATCAACATCAGCATTCTGAGGAGAGCTTGTTAAAAATTCGGAATCTTGGGCCCTATTCAGACTTACTGAATCAGAATCCGCATTTTAAGCAAGATCTCTTATATGCACATCAAAGTTCCAGAGGCAGTGCATTCAAATGAGCTCCTTCACTACCATCCTGGAAGGTCCTCTGCTTCATTCCTGAGACCCTCTATTTCCCGAATCTGTATCTTCCCTTTTCTTGATTTTATGCCATCATTTTGTGGAAGATACCTTCCAAGAGCTTCTTGAGCAATGTTACAGGCCGGTGTCTCCCCCCTCCCTTTTCATTAAAACTTGCATGTCTGTAACTGTCTTTATTCTGATTTAATATAGAATTCTCCTTTGAAAATAATTTTTTTTATTTTTTATTTTTAAAAGATTTTATTTATTTATTTGACAGAGAGAGAGAGATCACAAGTAGGCAAAGAGGCAGGCAGAGAGAGAGGGGCAGCAGGCTCCCCGCTGAGCAGAGAGCCCCATGTGGGGCTCAATCCCAAGACCCTGAGATCACAACCTGAGCCGAAGGCAGAGGCTTAACCCACTGAGCCACCCAGGCGCCCCTGAAAATAATTTTTAATCAGAATATTAGAGGTTTTGCTTCACAGTGTTTTAGCTTTCAGTATTGCCACTGAGAAATCCTACCTCATGATTCCTGTTCTTTATGGGTGACTGACATTTCCTTCCTTACTCCTTCCCTTCCTTCTTTCCTTTTCCTTTCTCTCTCTCTCTCTTTCTTTCTTTCTCTCTCTCTCTTTCTCCCTCACTTCCTCCCTTCCTTCTGTTTTTAAGCAACACAGATTTACTATCTTACCATTCTGGAGGCCACAGTACAAAATCAGTATCAACCAGGCTAAAGCCAAGAAATAGGGAAACATTTACCTACTTCATCCTTGGGTGACTAATTTCTTTGTGTGTAACCTGTTTCTGTTTTGTTTTGTCTCAAGAAGTTTTAGGTTTTTCCTCTTTATTCCCAGCATTCTCAGACACAATCATGTATCTTGGTTGTGGGTCTTTTCTCATTTTTACTGAGCTGGTGGTATTTGGTTGGCTGGTTTTCATCTTGAAACCATGTCTTTTAGTTCTGGAAGTTTTTCTGGTGTTGTTTATTTAATAATTTTCTCTTTTCTATTTTATGTTCTTCAGTTCTGGAGCTTTTGCTGATACTATTTAGTTGCTAATTTCCTCTTTCTTTCCCTTCCCTTACTGTACCTCTTCTTTTTTGGAAATTTGTTGTTCAGATGTTTGATCTTGAATGATGTTTTTCTCATTTGTCTGTTCTATTTTGTATCTCTTTTGTCTTCTTGTTCCACTTTTCTGGATGATTTTCTCAATTTAATTAGACAAATATTAATCAAAAAAATTTTTTTTATTACATAGGCATGCCTTGGAGATACTGTGGGCTTGGTTCCAGACCATGGCATAAAGCAAATATGGCCATAAATTGAGTCAAATTAGTTTTTTGATTTTCCAGTTTATATAAAGTTATGTTTACAGTATACTGTAGTGTATCAAATATGCAATAGCATTATGTAAAAAATGTACATCCCTTAATTTAAAGATAATTTATTACTAAAAAATGCTAATTTTCATCTGAAATTTGAGCAGAATCTTTTTGTTGGTGGAGGGTGTTTCCTTTAAGTTGATGGCTGCTGACTGATCAAGGTGGTAGTTACTGAAGGTTCAGATAGCTGTGGCAATTTCTTCAAATAAGACAACAATGAAGTTTGCCACATCAGTACATAACTGGGTGAACTGGGGAGGCCCGTGGGTCCTCAGGTCTCCAACCAACCCATGCCCAGGATGTTGCTGGAGGCTCCTGGTCTCACCACAAGAAAAGAATTCAAGGATGGACAGGGCACGCTGGTTGAGTGGTGCATGTGAAGAGTTTATATATTATTAAAGAGAGAGTACACTCTCAAGATGTGAAGGGGGCAAGCTCAGGGCTCTTCCCCCACCCCCTGGGTTTTGGTCTCCATACTTCATTGACGGTTGTTAACTAGGGGGTGGAATATTTATTATTTGAGGAGGGGATTTTGGGGGGGAGTAGAGTTTTATACCTTTTCTCCCTTACTTGGTCAGTATGACTGACATTTTTTCCCTCTGTTCCCTTCTTTCCCTCCCTTACCTCCCTTTTTTAAGCAACACAGATTTATTATCTTACAATTTTGGAGGCCAGAGTTCTTGTTTTGTTTCAAGAATTTTTAGGTTTTTCTCTTTTGGATCTGAGAAAGTGGATGCAGTGGTAAAAGCTAGTTTATTCAGTACTGCTGCCAGATTTCACAGGGTGGTTTTGTGATGTGCACATCTCCCCCAAGGGGCTAGCACCAAGGGTACCTATTATTCCAGCCTATATAAGGCCTATTGCCCTTCAGACTCCAGTGTGGGGTTGGGTAGAATTATATATTGAGACTCCTGGGGAAACCACATACCCCAGGGTGTAACTACTCTGATGTTTGAGGTTATCAATGCAAAAAAATCTTCGAGCCATATGGGTTGGGTGAAGATTGCTGTAGGGGATGCCTGGGTGGCTCAGTCGGTTTAGAGTCTGATTATGGCTCTTTGGTTGTGATATCAGGATCCTGGGGTCAGACTCCGTGCTTGGCAGGGAGCTTGCTTTGCCTCTCCCTTTGCCCCAAGCCCCGCTTGTGCTCTCTCTGTCTCTCTCTCCCATAAGTAAATAAAACCTTAAAAAAAAAAAAAAAAGGAAGAAGATTGGTTCCTATAGGTTGTGAGAAGGAGATAACTGAGAAGGGCACATAAGGTTATGGGATAACTCACTGTTTTCAGTTTCTGGAACTGCTGGGCCCACCTGGAAGAGTTATTGTGTGTGCAGTTGGCATGTAGACATCCTCCTTTTATTCTGGGGAATTTATGAGCATAGTTGAGAGTAAAATTAGAGTGATCATAGGTGTGCAGTGGTGTCTACCTGGGCCATGATCCAAAACATGGATATAATATTGGGGGTTTTTGTGGACAGCTGGATCTGGCATAAGCCCAGTGGGTGGCATCACAATCTGCATTCTTTCTCTTCCTTTTTTTAATAAAGGTTTTATTTATTTGTCTTAGAGAGAGAGAGTGAGCGAGTGCACACGAGTGGGAGAGTGGCAGGCAGAGGAAGAAGCAGGCTCCCTGCTGAGCAAGGAGCCCTATGTGGGACTCGATCTCAGGACCTTGGGATCACTATTTTTATTTTCTAAACAAGCATACCACGTTTTGCACTTAGCTCATTGAACTGAGACATTGGAAAATTGTTTGACGGTCCAAGAATTTTGAGTTACTCCCAAAGTAAAGTGAGGAAGTGCCATTACTTGGAAGCTGACCCATCTTTTGGATTTGTCTTTGGTGTTATTTAGCAGCACTGACTCAGAAATTAAGTAAAAATTAATTCCTGAGATGTCTCAGGTGGTGGGAGTGGATTAAGTCCACACATGTCCGATTTGGGGCAACAAGCATACCATCTAGGGGAGAGGAACTAGGTCCAGTATAATTTTTTTGGAGGACAGTTATACTGAGAGAATGAGTGGGATAAAACAAGGGTAAGAAGGGTCTTTTTGAGGATGTAAATGACAGATTCAACAGCTAGAAAGGTTTTCCCCCTGAGAGATTTTGTTGGAAATATTTATGAGATAGTTTTCCCTCTACCCCTATGGACTTGTGCAAGTTAGAGCAGTGATAAGAACAAGTAAAGCTGTCCATAGAGGACAGGAGGTTTTTATATGCCTCAGATGGGGGCATTTGTGTGAAGTCTATGTTTCAGTCCTCTCCAGGGTGTGTGCCTCACCTTTGGATGGACTGGAGTGGAGGTGGTCTATCCCTTCCCCCAGAAATGTTCTGGTAACATGGATCCTGGTGACTTCCTTCATAACCCGTGACAGGCCAATTCCTAAAAGACTATATCAACTAAGGAGGTTAATGGGTCTCTTCCCAAATGAGAGGAGTCGTGTGTTCCCTTGATGATTTTCCATTGGGATCCATGGGGAAGTGTCACCTTTTGGTCTTGTGTTCATCATCTCTCAGAATTTAGTTGGTAGACATTGTACTGAGCCCAGTTTATTTTCCTTTCTGAATATTGGGGCCTTTGTCGGAAGATTGGCCCATGAGGGAGTAAGGCTGCCCATACTGGGAGGGCTTCCAAGGCTGCATTTTTAGCCACATTGCCTGCTCAGTTATTTCCTGTAATAATATCAGTCTTTCCCTTCTGATGGCCTCTGCATTGGATTACAACCACTTCTGTGGGTTCTGGTACTGCTTGTAAGAGATCAAGGATCTCTTGATGATGTTGTAGGGGAAAGTTTTGACAGTGAAAACCCCTTTTCCAAATGGCAGTATGAGCATGAAGAACAAGAAAGGCATACTTAGAGTCAGTGTAGCTCTTTTGTCCTTCCCTAGTTTTAAGGCCATGAGCTCAGCCTTTGTGCCACTGTATGGGGGAAGACCTTCTGCTTCTGTG